GATCTAGATCTCAATGGGGTTTAGCTGGTTAAATAAAGAGAAAAAAAAATGCATTGGATTTTAAGCTGCTTTATTCTGGACTTTTCTTGGTCAGTTTTTTTGTTGCTGTGGTGAACTATTTGATCTGCAGTCTTGCAGAGACAACAGCATCACCATTCCAGAATTGGATGGTGAGCCACAGCTCAAAGGACCAAATAAACTGATAGATTGTGACCAAACTGGTCACTAACAATGAAACTTTGAATGAACATTGACAGATACATTGAGAAGTAATAAATGACACATTGGACAAACATTTGACACATTGAAAAGACTATGAATTATTATTTTTTCCAAAAGGGCTCAATTTTGTTTATTTGTAAACTGGGATCCAAATATCTCAATGACTTAATTCTCTTCTCTCACAAACTGTGTATGTTTTCCTCTGTTGTTGCTCAGACCTAGGCTCCCACAAATTCTGAATTTTCTGATCAGACCCAACATCCCCTACAAGTCTGTAGTATAGGTATTAGTCATTGAAGTAACTTACCTTACCTGTTATCTAATAACTATCAAGGATATTAGAAGTAACCTTCCTTAAGGGTTATGTACATTACATAACCCTTTAAATTTTCTTTTTTTAAATTGTGAATAAATGTTCCTTACAAACTAACTATCCCACATCTTAGGGACACAATACTTACACTATCAAAGTCTGAGATGATCTCGTTGAGAAACCGTAGACATTCAATGCCACCATTATTGATGCTCTCCTCTGTGTAAAAGTCAGAGAAGTTGGGAATTGAGGCAAACATGACACCAATCTCATCGTATGACTGGCTGTACAACTCCTGAAAAAAATAAATGCATAAATCAATTCAGAAGCAAGAAAAAGTGAGATTCCAATCTGTTATTTCCTGAATATTTCAAGGTTTAATTGTAAAATCAATTATTCCATTTTCTCAAACTTTTGCAAATGGTAGTATGGTAGTAACGTAACGTTGCAACCTTACATGTGAGCATGCGCTGGTGGGTATTACTATAACCCCACTAACTAGAACCAGCACCAATACATAATCAACATCAGCATACTACATGCCTCCGTTTTTAATTTAAAACACCTGCAACTTTTTATTTTTCTATTAATTAGAAATGTATAACCCAAAAGCTAACCAGAATCTAACTTTGCATAAATAACTTGCATAACAATATTAAACATCTATTCCTCTGCTATATACTTTGAACTGCCTTGTTGCTGAAATGTACCGTAGTATATAAATATACCTGACAGGTCCACAGTTTAGTATGTTTTGGAGTGACTCCTCTTCACAAAATGTCTTCTCATAAAGCCTTTATCTTTTCTGATCATCACTCTCAAATTTATTTCCCTTCCCCCTCGCCTCCCTCCCCCAAGTTTCTTTTATCACAGAGGGTCACCCTAAAGTCTTCACTTAACATACCCTAATTGAGCTGTAAATGGTTCAGAGCTCACTTGGGTGCCATGAGTCACTTGGGTTTTTTTATAATTCTGTAAAAAGTTGGACTTTTACTTTAGTTGTGGATTGATCAAAATTACCTAAGATGTTTTATATGCCATACAAGTTTAAAAAACAAAATTGTTCTTACTTAATTAGGGCAATCAATGTCAAATGTAACAGATTTGTTTAAAATAATTTTCTGCACATCAAGTTTTGCTTTACCTTTAGACCATTTAGAAATTTCCACAAATGGAAATGATGAACTGGATTTCTGATCTCAGGGGTGTGCACTGACCTGACGTTTAGAAAGGTAAAAACTAATTGTAACAACAAAGGTCTTACCTCATCCCTTTTCTTGGAACCCAGGAAGTGTCGAGCCACGTGTTCAGGTAACATGTTTGTTACGAGAGCTTCATTCCAGCGCCTCATTTCATATACTTTCTCCTTCTGCTCATGGACTTCTATCTTCCATAAGAAAAGCGTGCGAGCAAGCTTCTCCACCTTCAACCAGGACAGTTGATATAAGCATTATTAATTAATAATATTAATTAGCATCAGACATGCATAGAATTAAAAGCTCATAAGAGCTTGTTTTAAATGGCCAAAGCACTTCATAAATTTCACATTTTAATTCATCCATTGACATACACATTCATATGCTGATGGTGCTGCTGGATTGCGGCGACATCTGCCCTGGGACAGTCTGACAGAACCAAGGCTGCCATTCACCAGCACCACCAGGCCCTCTATTGTTGTGTCCTTCGCCAAGACACTTCAGAGGCTGATGGAGCAGGAACTGAACCGGTGGGTTTAGGAACTGAACTGGAACTCTTACTAAGACCGTCCTATTATGTTTACTTAATTTGTCAATATACACACTATATTGCCAAAATATTTGTTCACCCATTCAAATAATCAGAATCAGGTGTTCCAATAACTTCCATGGCAACAGGTGTATAAAATGAAGGACCTAGGCATGCAGACTGTTTTTACAAACATTTGTGAAAGAATGGGTCGTTCTCAGGATCTCAATGGATTCCAGCACGGAACTGTGATAAGGATGCCACCTGTGGAACAAATCCAGTTGTGAAATTTCCTCGCTCCTAAATATTCCACGGTCAACTGTCAACTGTATTATAAGAAAATGGAAGTGTTTGGCATGTTCAATTGACACAATTGAACATATGTCACTGAATAGTCAATCAGTTATGTGGGTTTGTCGTCCCACAGTAAATGCCCCTTACCTGGAGGACAAAGTTGCCAGGTCTACCATGAGCTACAGTCTGGCTACTGGTTTGCTACTTGCTTGCTATTAAATGTGATTTAGTGGAAAATAATCGGAAAAATGTTAAAAGTTATCAGTGGAACATGCACAAGACACCCTTTACCCAGAGCATTTAGAGCATTTACTTTATTCCATTGTCAAAACGGAAGTCTGGAAAAATGTAAAAGTTGGACAAATGCCTGCAGCTGACCTCATGAACAGCTGAATACAGTGATCAACGGTATTAAAACATGCTGGCATGAAGGTTTTCTCATCATTATATCATATGCTTAATGGTTAAATTACAGATCGATGCATCAAGCTTGGCCCAAAACAATAAATGTGTGCTGTTTCTTTGTAAAGCAGTAACTTCTCAGGCATGTGGTACAAATATTCATACATAGCCTGACATACGTGATCAAAACATAGTTCAGATACACACTATTAAGTAATTGCTCACCTGCTTGTTGCAAGTGCAAAACATGCATGATACAACTACGCTGAAGATGCATAGACATGACAAAAATTACGACTGGTCAAATATTTGGAAGATTTAAAAATACATATAATTAAATAGATGAAAAATATCCTCCAGCAAAGCCAGTTTTGAGCAGCAGGACAATAACTCCAGCACATCATCATGCTACATCTGGATGTTCTGGGTCTAAAGCCAAAAGGCTCAGATTATATTTGCTGCATATTCCAACAAACTGTGTTGGCAAAAAATGTCTCAGTGGGACGGCTAACCAGCGGAACTGCTGACAATATTTTTTGCAATAAAAACAAAATGAAAAACACCACGATTAAACGTTAATGTACTTGTTATTTAAGAAATAAAAACAAATTTCAACAGCCAACAGAGACCTGAAAACCATAAGTAGTCATTGATATTGAAGATAAAATAAGTAAAAAAAAAATAAAAAAATTGTACAAAAAATCAATTTCTCTGTGGTTTCTCTGTCATGTGATATGGAGCCTTCATAGATTTGATCAGATCTTGATGCTGTAGGTTTGTCTGTATATAAACACAGAGATGTCAGTCACAGATTGTCAGAGTTGGGTCCATCCTATGTAAATGTCTGGTGGGACCATGAGACGGGGAAGGCTGTAAAATGCCCTGCCCGGGGGGGGCAAAATTGTTTCCATTTCTATTTTTCTTACATGTTTTAAATATTATATTTCTTTTAATTAAATTAGAAACATTAGAATACTATCCAAATGGCTTTCTTCTACAATTATTATTGAAGGTTTCCTCAAATAAAGGCATTTGAAAAACCTTCAGTGCCTGTCGTGGCCTTCTAGGTTCCAAAACCAAACATTTCCAACAAAAGCCCTGGGTGGTAACATGTGGTTTGATTCTTGCCTCTTGCTTCATGTGAACTTACATGTCTGGAGAAGTAATAGAAGCTGACCATCATAATGAAGATCATAACTGTCATGGTGAACTTGGAGGGAACCATCTCTGAGCTGGAAAAAGAAAAGTGTCATTCTAAAATATCAAGGTGAAAACCAATGTTCCATTCCTAGTTAAAGGACGAATTGCTATTTATATTCCCTATTTCCTGCAAAGTGGGGCTTTTGTACAATGCCCCTATTTTGGTGTTCTAGCATAGAACTGGAGAACATACGATTTGTGTAACCCAGAAAATTGTCATACATCATAGGGTGTTGAAGCTCCCACATGTGCAACAGCTGAGTTAATGTTAATGCTTTCTTAAGGACTGCACTCCTCCGGTTCAGAGAATTTTCTTCTCTTTCCCAGTGATGGAAGAACAAAATTACATAATTCAGTTTTGCAGTCTGTCTGGGAGCTCTGCAGCTTACCTCTGGTCAACCATCCAGACAAAATGCATTTTTCTTATGTGGAGTCTGACAACTTTATATACTGTTGAGACGCTTTGCCAAGGTCGAGAAAGAGTCACAGGCTGTTAGACAAAAGGCCGATTGTAAAGAGTTGCATTTTTGACTCTGTTAGATGCTAAGGCCCATTCCTCAGACAACAGAAACTTATCAGGCCACAGAGACATGGTGTGATTTCAGGGAGTGTCTTCAGTCCATATAATCAGCTACCCTCCTCCTTCTCCTCAGACGCTGCACAGACTTTTTTAGAAACTCTTCTCGAATGTAATGGTAAAGCGTCTCCTTTCAGCAATGAAAGTGAAAAAAATAAGTAGTCTGAAAGATTTTGTTGGCTGATTTTATGCTCCATGTGTCAATATAAATTATGATTCATCAATTAGGATGAATCATACACACAACATACATAAGACGTAAGAGTATTTCCTAAGAACCTGACACTTTGCAGAGACTGTACTTATTTCTACTACTTCAAATAAAAGATAGTTGACTACTCTTGTGGAATTTGCGTTGCCCTTTACTCTCACAGAACGTTTTCTGTTTTCAGAAAGTTTTACCTGTATTCTTGGAAGCGAACCATGTCGTAGTGGTCAAAGATGTCTTTCCAACTGTAGATGTTAACGATGCCAGTTGTTGCTGTTATAAGTAGCATCAGCGTAAGCTTGACCATGTGACTGACCTGAACTAGCATGGTAGTGGCTATTAGTGCAAGCACTGCTATAAAGCTGTAATATTTAGGATTATTCAGGCATCCTCCAAGGCTGGACTGTGAAGATGAGGAAGAAAATGGAGCCGCTGTGGTGCTGCCTGAATCTGGGACTCCAGGTGTACAACTGAGCTAAATATCAAAGAGACATAAAGGGAAATCAATGGTTATTTCTAAATATTTTCTCTTTCAGAAATGATCCATTCAGGTTAGGATTTTAACATGGTTTTCTAATTAATGGCTGCTCTAGATGCACAGGAGTTTTCTCTGTAAACATGAATTTACAGAAATTACAAAACCCTCTTGTTTCTGTAGAAATAAGTCAAAGCCACTTACCATATCTAAAAGGTCTGCCATGGTTAAGATGAAAATAGCTGCAATGGCCCACGTATTTCGAGCCCAACGGGTGTGGTCAATCCAGATTGAGAAAGACACCAACTTTTTGGGAAAGACCTTAAATGAAAGGATATATTTAGTAAACTAAGCCAATCATTTGCAACTTATCTTTTTCATACCACAACAAACGGTACACAACTGGTTTCTTTTATTAGTTTTACACAATCTAGCTTTAATGATTAGTTTTGCTTCCCACAGCCTAGATAGACAAGAAGTTGAGGAGCAAAATATTCCATTACTGCTTTATTTTTACTTAGTTCTTTTTATTTAGAACTTAAAATTACAGATTGTATTTTGTTTTCTTCACACACCTCATCTTGCTTCCATACCCTACAGCCAAATGATAATGCTGCAAATGTCCATTGTCTTTCAATGTGCAGGTGGTCAGCCCAATGTCTTTCATGTTAGAAAGTCAACAGAATGTGACTCTCCCATGTAACACTGTGTGGAATCACCACAGCATTTGTGATTTGTTCTTTACACAAATCAAACAATTTTCCTTTTTTTGGAATGAGACTTTCTGCTACTTCTGTAATTCCGGTAAAATAAATGAGAACATTTGTATTTTGCAGACACTGTTGTGACATTTTTCCTTCTGCGGTGTTCTTTCAAAAAACAGTCAATGATTGTAAGGCAGCTAATTTGGGATGAGTACTGTAGTTTTGGGATCAGAGTTTACAATCAGATAATCACCTTGGGGTTGAAACCAACAAGATACCAAGGCAAGATCACTGCAAATGCTCTGGGTAAAGCATGTCAAGTGCATGTTCCCCTCCCCACTGCCAATGTTTAACCTTTTTTTTTTTTGGATTATTTTTCATTAAATTTATATAACTGGTGCGCATTCCTAATAATAACCCTGATAAAAGCCCACATTTTATCAGAAGTTAATTTCCTCTAGGTAAAGAGCGTGTAACACGGGATAAATTGTGTCCACTGATTGGTCAGTTGCTGACAAACCCACTGGACTGGTTGACAGGTGGCGTGACATCAATTTTAGTTTTTTTTTTTTTAATATCTTTTAGTATCATTTTTTTAATTAGAATTTTAAAATCTTTTTAAAAATCTGTAGAGGTTTTTTTAAAAAAATGTTTAGTTAGAGAAAACTAAGGGTAGACTGACATTCACAATCAGTTACGAGTACCTCTTAACTCTTGTGGCATTGCAGGCATGTAAAATTACAATATTTAATGCAGTATTGACGGTACTAAAAAGCCTTAAGCGCCATTTAGACTAAGTCTATATTTTCTGTTCTCATGAGATTGACTGGCTTACTTTGTGTAGCTTGTTGACCTAAACTGAGTTTGTGAAAGCATCTGTCAATATTTCCATATTGACCTGCCTGGTAAATGTCAGGAAATGACATGACTACACAAAATCAAAAGTATTACATAAAACCCAAACACCCCAAGAGTTATGTGGTATCCAAAGCTACACTTTTATAGATAGATAACAATAGTTTAATAAGTTATGTTAGTGTATGATGGTGTAGAAATAGCTTTGTAACTCACTCCTGGAAAGATAGCCGCAAGAGAGCAGATTGTCAGGATAAACAGCAAAATCTCTCCTACTCCAAAGGTGATGTAGTTTATAATGAGCCTGTTTAAAAACAAACATACCAGATAACATTTGGGACCAAGAGCAGTTTGTCAAAAACATTAATGAAACTTTTTCACAATTATTTTTTTATCTGTGTTATGAAGTGCTATGGGAAATGATTTTGGTGTAAAACTGACCTGTGGTCTATGAGTGCCTCCATTACTGTAGTAAAGAGAAGAACAACACAGGAGCAACAGAACGCAGCACCACTCTGCTTCTCCTTCTCAATAGAATAACGAACCTCTAGGTCTGGATCCACAAACCTCAAAGAAAGTCTGTTGGTGTGTTTTCCCTTCAGACTGTCAAGACATTAAAGTTCAGGGGTTATAATGAGAGCCTTTACATTTTTGGCATTCTCTGATATTTTTTTAACTATTCTAAAAAAATGCACATCTGTTCTCTAATATGCTTCCATGTTTTTTTATGTGGGTGTCTATTGACTCAATCCCAAAACTGAATCAGGTTTTATGTCTTGTGGGTTAGTCAGGGAGTTGTCCATATACATTTCATGAATTAGATCTGTTTTGGTGTAAAATGTCGAGATTACATTTGTTCTGAATTGGCACTATGCAAAAATGAACTATTTTAAATTAAGCTTAATTCAACAAAATTTTATTTGGTTGCATACTATGAGAAGGTTTATCTCAGAAAACACAATATGACTAGCATGCCTCTTTGTAAGCCAGTCAATTACCTGGCAAGCATGAATGCCTATAAATGAATACCAGGAAATATTTGGGCTATGCCAGAATTATTTCTAAATCTAGATTTTTTTTCTTATGGGGCAAATAAATGACTAATTAACTTTCATAAACTAAAAAAAGAAAATATTTCAAACTTAATTGAATTGCTTCAATTGGTAACAAGTAATTCAATTATGTTTATCCAACTTAATTCATTAAGTTAAATTAACAAACTTAAGTCAGTCTTACTCAAATCATATGGCTTACTTCAAATAAAAAGTAAACTAATAAAGGATTTTTTGGCTCAGGCTGCCTTTATTTGAGAGCAGTTAGACAGGAAAGTGGGTAATGAAAGAGGGGGAAGACATGTGGCAAAGGTCATCAGGCCGGGAGTCGAACCTGTGACAGCGCCTCCACGGCATGAGGGGTGGTACAGGATCTGTTCCTGGTGAAGCTTGTGTCATGATGTCAGACGTCGGATACAAACGTGGCTTTGCATTTAATTGTTTCAAGTAAAGTGAAAGTAAAAAGTTCCTTTAAGTAAAAAAAAAAAAAGTAACTTTTAAGTTAATTCAACACAAAAAAGTAAGTTAAGTAAATTAAGTGAGATTAATGTCCATAACATGAACTGCAGCCCAAACACTTTTTAGAGTGTAGGCTTATAAATAATTTAGACTTTTTTTTCATTCTTTTGTAATGTTCCCTAATATTAGTGTGTCGTAAAGTGGCTTTATGTAGATATTAAAAATTAAAGGAGCCAGTTCTCAATCACGGCAAAGTTGCTTAAAGTTTAACTGGTTGCTGTGTTTAAGGTTCTTATCTTCCTTCTGTCAGCACCACATGAAGAGAGAGACATTGAACACTTTGTTTTGTGTAAAATAAAAAGCACATTATGACTTCACTCATCTCTCAACTTCCCACCGCTCTTCCAAACACAGACAGGACTCTAGTACAAATTAGGACTTACACTTTTACATAAACAATATACCATATTTTCCGGACTATAAGCTGCTACTTTTTACCTACGCTTTGGACCATGCGGCTTACATGTGGATTTTTCTTCAACCACCAGGGGGCTCTTTAACAGGAAGTGAATCATTGTAAGTCAAAATTGGAAATAAAAGAAAAAAATGCCCATCAAGACAGAATTAAGTTTTAATAGGGAATTTAAATTTGAGAATGTTGTTGATCAGTTAAATAGCATTGAGGGGAAAAAGAAGATTTTTTGTTTTTTAAATAATACTGGGATCGTTATGAGAATTTGAGGTATAGATATTAGGATCCAATAGATGGCAGTAGTGCAACAATAATGGAAATAATGGATGCAAGCTGCCGTTAAAATCTGAAGAAGAAAAAAAGCGCCCATTTTCATTTAGCACATGCTAGCAGCCGACAGTAAGGAGATTTTTCTCTTCAAACTCATAATCAGTTCAGTTAAATCTAAACTTGTCAACTTTTTCTTTTTCAACCATAATAAATGTGATATTCAATCGACCTGTTATGACTCAGATGTTGGCTGTCCTCTGCTGTTGCTGCATCGCTGTGGAAAACCTGGAGCGGCAGAGAAATCTGTGGCTTATAGTTCGGTGCAGCTTATAGTCTGGAAAATACAGTAATTTAGAACTAAAGCATGTCATTTCAGCTTCAAATATGCTCAAAGCAGACTTGCACATGATTGCCTTGGGATATATCAACATTTGCTGCAACAGACTGGCAACACAACCTTTAGCAGAGCATTTTCATTGAAACTACAACCAGTATAGATACAACAATGGAAGAATATATAAGATGCGCTTATTTAGCGGTCAGGAAAGAATTTTGGGGAATCAGTTTTCTGACTGGAAGAAAATGTCAGTATCACTGGTCATTTCTGGTTCAAAAGGAAAAAATTGACACTTACGCTTGAACTGTTTCTCTCTCCAACAGAGCCTCATTAAGCAACTTGTTGAGCTCTTGCTCATTCTCTTGGGCATCAATCACCCGTTCAGCCAGGTCCCGCAGTCGGAGCCTCCTCCGTGGATTTGGAAAAGATGGGTTCACTACCTGCAGTCCCAGAAAAATAAAAACAAAATTGTGTGCTATTGTTATTGTTTCTTTGCTGGTTTATTCATTACATAAAGTGGTATTCTCATATTATAGACCTACCTCTATAATAAGGTTTTTTTCCTCTCTTGCTCTCAAAGGCGAACGCTTTTTTCCTCTGGTCCCTCCCTGCCCTTGCCTGTCTTTTTCTATATTTTTGGAGCCTTTCTTTTCACATCCTCCAAATCTACAGATTATGGATCTGGTCAACCAGTCTCTCAATGCAATTGATCAAATTTTCTCAACGAGAAGACTGAGCACAGGAGAGCCCTAATGTCCTACGTGGACACACCCGGCACGATTCACCCTGGATTTATTCATGATAACAGGATTTCTGCTGTTTGGAGCTTGTGGATTCCTGGATTATCGACAAATTTGTGACGGACTTGGCCAAACTAGCAAATACTCAGACTGTTGGTGTGGACAGAGACGCAAGTTGGATGTGAGTCTTGCCGAGACTCGCAGCCCAGCTGAGGACTCAAAACTCACTAACGGAATGGAATCGATCTTGGAGAAGTTGCTAGTTTCAGCTCAGTGGAACGACCAAACTAATTTGGATAATTGGGAACTGAGATGTATTGAAGGGACTTTAGGAAGATTGAAATTTATAATCTACCCGACCTAAGACATTCTGTATCTGAATAGTCTTTTCCCGTGTGGCCTTGGAAGGGCTGCATATTTCCAATCTCCTTGAAGATATGTAAACGTAACACTCCTTCCCACCTCACCCCCTCCTGTATCCATGGAGCTGTGGAGCTGAGCGCTCCCAAGAACATTCCTCGATGATAACACCTTTATCGGACTTCTGCCGGGAGCCTGAGCAATGTGGTTTCATGATCCTTTGATGGTACCGCCTTCACTCATGTCTTTGTTTTGCCCTTTGTTTTGTCTGAATGTTGCCATTTCTCCTAAGGTGTCCTTTTCTCTTTTTTATTTTATTTAGTTTACCTGTTAGAAGCTGTGGAGTACTCTCTATTTAACCCAGAAAAGGAATTAGATTAGTAACTCTTTAGCTTATTTTTTCAGAAACTGTAGCGTACTCACAACTTAGATGCAGCGACCAGAAGCCCAAAGGACACTTTTGGATGATTGTCAATATGGATTTAGAGCCTAAACATTAACTTCAATGGCCAAAATACAACCAGTAGAAGATATAGAAAATGTAATGATAGAAAACAATATACTGTGGGAGTGTTATATAGACATAAAAAGTATTTGACACGATAGACAATTAATTACTTTTACATAAATTAGAGAAATATGGTGTATGAGGCATTGTAGTCTTGGATAAAGAGTTCCCTGCATCAAAGGTATCAATATGTACAAATAAGTATCATACATTCTGATTTACTAGAAGTTACCTGTGGAGTCGGTAGTGGGTCCTAAACTTTTATTTTACTTTACATTAATGATATATGAAATTAATTTAAGTTGTTAACATTTACTTTATTTGCTGATACTATCACACCATATTCATCTGGTAATAGTTCAGACCAGGTTCTCACATGCATAGTAGGAAAAAATATAAAATTTATCAAAATATCAAATATTTGACCTGACTGCTTACCCTTGTGTCCAACTCTTCTGGTTCTTCAGGTGTGTTGCAGGCTGCCTCCACGCTGCCGTTACACTCTGTTGTGTTGATTAATAGTGGGGAATTTCCATTAGAAGAGGTTACTGACAGCTTCTGAGAAAAAAACAAAAAAATGGGTCTTCTGTGATTATGAGTGAAAACTTACCAACTATATATATATATATATATATATATATATATATATATATATATATATATATATATATATATATATATATATATATATGTGTGTGTGTGTGTGTGTGTGTATGTATATAGTTCTAAAACCTTATTTCACGCCTTTTTCAAAGAAAAATGTTTAAACGTTTTCAAAATTACATCTCTCTTCCGTCCTGTCTTCTTGTACATACTGGTGATGACAACAGTGAAAATGTTTGAACATTAACATACTTGCTGTGAGTGTCTGGATGTTTAACTAACCACAGGACTGATTCCATTTCTTCCCAGGGGATCTTTAGATACCGTCACCAGGTAGGTCTCAATACCTCTCTCTCTCAGATAGTCACAGCGATCGCCTCCATTTCCTGGCTCCACATTGAACTCTCCATGAAGACACTCCATGGTACTTTGTGAGATGTGAACACGTCTAATCCAATAGCACAAAAGAATGAAACATCAGATTTTTGTTTTTAGTTATTGTTTTTGTTTTGTTTGTTTTACCAGCAGCCCTGCAACAGACTGGCGACCTGTCCTGGATGTACCTCGCCTCTCGCCCGGAACGTTAGCTGGAGATAGGCACCAGGACCCCTCCCGACCCCACTGAGGGACAAGGGTGTTCAGAAAATGGATGGATGGATGGATGTTTTACCAGCCCAAAAAACATTTTTTGGAGAGAAAATTGCCTTTTGGTGTCTGGTGTGATTAAAAAAAACTGCCCATTTTTGTATTTTAGTACACCTTTATCAAATTGAAGAACTTATACAAATCAATTTGCATTATATGGCTTTTCCCCCCCAACTTTTAACATTATGTTCTCTGTTCTCTTATGTTCTCAGAAAGCCATCCGAACTGGCTTTCTGTTAAGCTGTGACATGTTGAGGATGGTGTCACAGCTAGTGTGTCCTTCTACAGATGACATATTTGCCCTTGCCTAGTGCTGTCTCCATTGGCTGAACTTTTCCTCTCTGTTGCCTTTAAACTGTCTCAGAGCTCATCTGTCAAGATGTGTTTCTCTCACAAAGGAGACATCACTCCTAAAGGTGACACCACTAATGGAGTTCCTACTAATGATACATTCTGACTTCTCTATAACATAGAAAAGATTCCAGGATCAGAGCTTCTGTTTTTTTGTGTATCTGCTCTGTCTTCTCCAATCCCCATTCGGTAGCTCATACTGAGTCAGGTTCTGGTTCTGCTGGAGGTTTCTTCTTTGGAAAGTCAACAACACATTGCACAGGACTGTCCATGGGATTGTTGAAGCATTTACTTCAGGAGGAGCGAACGCTTCAAGTCAATGACTTGATGCTCTGCTGGGTTTCCAAAAATAGAATTTTCCTCTAAGCTAATTTGAATAATAAACTAAGCTTAATGCACTGATTGATAACTAGAATTGATTGGATTTATAAGAAATTTAATTGAAATGCCTTGTTTTTTGCCAAGGTAGGCAGGCAAAACACCACACACACTGTCTGCTACCTGGCCTGAACAGTGAAAACTGGGATTCTTCCATAAAGACACCTCCAGATGTGCCAGACTATCAAATATGAGCATTTGCCAACTCAAGTCAGTTACAGCGACAAACTGCAGTCAGGTTGAGACCTCGTTGAGGACAATGAGCATAGATAAATCTTGTTTTTTTGTTTGTTTGTTTGTTTTTATTACCGGTATGTATTTTATAATCTGCTTGCTTTTATGTCAAGGTGACCTTGGGTGTCCAGAAAGGCGCCTACAAATAAAATGCATTATTATTATTATTATATGACCTTCCGAGATGGTTTCTGACAGTTTGTGCAGAAATTCTTTGGTTGTGCAAAGAACTGGTTGTGTTTCAGCAGCTGTCTAGGCGGCTGATCTCAGATGATCCTGGAGGTGAACATGTTGGATGTGGAGGTCCTGGGCAGGTTTGGTTATTTCTGCGTGGTCTGTAAATGTGGGGCCGGTTGATGTACTACCAAATTCTCAGAAAGGCCTTTAGAGACGGCTTATGGGACAAGAATGAACATTCAGTTCACGGGCAGCAAGTTCTGCTTGACATCCCTGGAGTCAGAATGCCAATCGCATACTCCCTCAAAACTTGTGACATCTGTGGCATTCAGGTGTGTGATAAAACAACATATTTCAGAGTGATCTTTTATTGTGGCCAGCCTAAGGGACACCTGTTCAATAATCATGGTGTCTACTCAGCATCTTGAGCTGGAATGGATTACCATATCTATGCAAAGGAGAAGTGCTCGCTATCTCAAATTTAGACAGATTTGTGAGCAATATAGAAAATGTATCAAAAATGTTTTAGATCTTTGAGTTCATCAAATGAAAAATGGGAACAAAAACAAAAATTTTGTGTTTGTTTTTTTCTTGAATGTAGATGGATTTGTTTGTGAAATTTGTGCCATTCACTACAAAATGCTGTCTTAGTGGAATGCTCAGGAGAAAATGTCACGGTCAGACAGTGGGGAAATGGGAGGTTGCCCTGTCAATACATTCTGCCACAACCAGCCCTTTGTGGACATTAATGCTCTTGACATGACCTGAAATGAAAATAAGTTTGACACCCTCGAGTTATATGAACAGAACTTGCTCTTACCCTGGAATGCCTCCTGCTTCCATTTTGTTGGCTACTGTGACATCCGTAGACCAAACATCATACTGCCAGCGTTTCTGTCCCAGCACTCCTCCAAGTACTGTTCCACTGTGAACTCCAACCCTCATATCAACATTGGTTTGGGTTTTTTCACGAACATACCTAGGGTAGTTTCACAAAAATGTATGCTAAATAAAAGGCAACACAAGGTCCCCTTAAAAGAGAAAGTTCCTGTACAAAAGCTTATTTTCTTACATCTAAAAACTGAAAACAGCTAGAATACATTTTGAACCAACAATGTATAAAAGGTAATTATTTCTTAAACACAGAGATGACAATGCACATTAGAGAATATGGAAGAATTAGCCATAAAGGGTAGTTTTCATCTGTAATCCTTCAGTGTAAAAATTATAAATATAAAAGCAGTGTACACAAGTTAACAAGAATTTTAAACAAAAATTTGTCAAACATATCATGTAACGAACTTACAAACTAATTAACTAATTTCAGTACTGGTTATATACACATTCCACCAGTATTTTATTCCATAGAGATTTTAAAGGTGTATTTTAAAGATACATACACTTTTATAATCACGGTTTTAGGTTAAATAGAGACCAAACTTCTCTCATTTTAGGTTAGTTAGAATTACCAAAATTATTTCTAGTTGCAAAATAAATAAAATTGGTTTCCATGGCAGCATTGAACAGATGCAGTGGCTTGGAGCATCTCTCACTGCCTTGTTTTTATTTGGTTTTAATTTTTATTAAAATGACTAGGATCATCAACAGTTAAGATCTTTTCCGCATTGGATTACGGAGTGAAGAGTGCATAATCGAGGACTTTATACAGATGCACAACAGCCAGCATGTTTGGCAAGGGATCCAGCACATCACCAACTTCAGATCAAACAACACCACCAAAATCTCTGGGGGATGCTTCACTGGCAGAGGAGATCATTCATTTCTTTGCCCATTTTGAGGCCGAATTACTGTAGCTGTCAATTCCTCCTCAGCCTGACCATCACTGAACAGAAGGTATGGAGAACCCTGAGGGTAGTGAACTCTCGGAAAGCTGATGGACCTGATGGTACTATTAGAGGAAAATCTGTAATCTAGTTCTCTGGTGGTTTTTGATATGTTTTCGGTTTCTAACGCCAGTTAGCAAAAATGATTCACACTACCCATCATCTGTTAGGGATCTATATTAAAAATATAAGGGTAATAGAGATGCCATCCTGTGTCACTGAATGCATGTCAGCCTGACCAAAGTGCTGCATCCTAATCAATTTCTTCAATGATCTCTTTAAGCTTGGAAAGAGTCAATAACTTTCCATCAGAGTGATCAATATAACACTGAGGGCAAAGTCACCAACAAAGTCCTTTATAGATGGACAGATGACTGACATGAAACAGCACCAGGTCATTCCTATACAGTATTTGGCATCACTGAGAACCACCCTGATATGGAAAAAACTATATATATATATATATATATATA